GGCCTCGCCCCTGGCCCCTGAATGCACAGGCCTCTCCGACGTGGAGTCCAGGAGAGTCCTGAGACAGGAAATCAGGCCGAGGCCCCACTCATTCAGTCCTGAGCGTCATGAGGGATGGCCAGAGACTCCTCAGCCCGAAGACTCCTCCCAAGTCACCCTCCGTCCTGCCACCTCACTGACTGCAGAAGCCCACGCAGGGGGCCTCTCTCCGTCTTTCTGGCAAGCGCACGCACCCTAAGGCAAAACCCTCCTCTTACTCTTAGAACCCAAAGTTTGCATAACTGAAAATTACACGAAAGGGGGAACAATGGCGGCCATTCAAAACAGGTTAGGGCCTGTCTTCCAGCCTGAGTGACAACTGCGAGGCATCCCCTTCCCCTCCCAGCGGATGGGTGTCTGTGGTGTCTCAGAGAGGGAGGGAAGAGGTGCCCCAGCCCTCCTGGGCCCTCCCTGCCATGGGCTCACTCTGCCTCTCTGCCCATCTGCCTCTCCCCTCCCCACCTCCCCCGGGCGTAAGGCACTGCCTGCAGGGTGCTGGGCGCCCTCTGCCTCTCTCTGCCCGTCTGTGTCCCCCCACCCCGGGTGTAAGGCACTGCCTGCAGGGTGCTGGGCGCCCTCTCGCCTCTCTCTGCCTGTCTGTGTCCCCCCCATCCCGGGTGTAAGGCACTGCCTGCAGGGTGCTGGGTGCCCTCTGCCTCTCTCTGCCTGTCTGTGTCCCCCCACCCCGGGTGTAAGGCACTGCCTGCAGGGTGCTGGGCACTCTCTGTCCAGCTCTTGGCCCTACCCACACCCCATGGGCTCAGGTGACCACTTCCTATTGGGCCTCCTACCCCCCGCCCCGTGGCATGCAGGGTGTCCTGCAGGCCTCTGGGGCCACTCTGGGCTTCTGGGGGCACGTGTGCCCCCCTTTCCTACCTCAGCTATCCTCTTCCCTGAGCAGGGCAGGACTGGGAGACCCACTCAGACTGCGCTCCTTCTCCCAGAGGCGCAGGCCCTTGGAAGGAGCTGCAGAGCCGGGTGGGCGTGAGTGTGCGGGGAGGTGCCCAGAACATCAGGGCAGGTGTGCCGCCACCTGGCCTGGGATAGCGAGCGGGCCCTGTGCCTGGGCCACACCGAGGCCTGGCTCGGACCCACCCAGGTCAAAGACCAGAGCTGAGAAGGCGGTGCAGACCCCAGCTCACAGATGCAGGAGGAGGCGGCAGAAGTGTCGTCCTCTGCACGGCTCCCCATGGCCAGGCGCCCTGGGATCTGCCCGCTGAAGGGCGCCAGGCTCCATGCAGACCCGCGAGTTGCACAAGATGTGGGTTTACCCAACAGATCCACCAGGAGGAGCCTGGGTGCCTCTCGGCAAGGAGAAGTGGGGGTCCTGCTGGAGAGGGGTCCCCGGGCACACCCGTGACCTCAGCTCCCGACCCCTCACCCAGGTACTTCTACTCCCGAAGAATCGACATCTCCCTGTCATCGGTCAAGTGCTTCCACAAGCTGGCCTCCGCCTACGGGGCCGGGCAGCTGCAGGCCTACTGCGGGCGCCTCTTTGCCGTCCTCCTGCCCCAGGACTCCTCCTTCCGCACGGCCCTGGACCTCCACGCCTACGCACTGGCCACCAAGGACCCGCTGCTGGAGGAGCTCTGCGTGCGGTTCCTCACCTGGAACTTCGAGGCCCTGACGCAGGCCGAGGCCTGGCCCAGCGTGCCCGTGGGCCTGCTCCAAGCGCTGCTGCCCCAGAGCGAGCTGGCCGTGTCCAGCGAGCTGGCCCTGCTGAAGGCCGTGGACGCGTGGGCCCAGGAGACACGTGCCCCCCGCGAGAAGGTGGAGGGCCTGCTGGAGGAGGTGCGCTTCCCCATGATGCTGCCCACGGACCTCTTCGAGCTGCAGTTCAACCTGTCCCTGTTCGCCAGTCACGAGGCCCTGTTCCAGAGGAAGAGCCTGCAGGCCCTGGAGTTCCACACGGTGCCTTTCCCTCTGCTGGCCCAGTACCGAGGCCTGAACCTCTCCGAGGACGCCTACATGCCCCGAATTTACACCTCGGCCACCTGGAGCGCCTCCGTGTGGCCCCGTGCCCGGGACACGTGGGACCCACGGCTGGCTTACCAGTCCAGACGGGAGTCTCCATTCGGCTATTCCAGTTACTCCAAAGGCTACGGGTATTACCCCTCCCAGTCCTTCCGGACCCCGCAGCACCCCAGCTTCCTCTTCCAGGCCAAGCTCGTCTCCTGGGCTCTCACCTACCTCCCCACCATGCAGAGCTGCTGGAACTATGGGTTCTCCTGCTCCTCAGAGGAGCTCCCCGTCCTGGGCCTGACCAGATCGGGCTACTCGGATCCCACTGTCGGCTATGAGAACAAAGCCCTGATGCTCTGCGGAGGGCGCTTTGTGGCAGACGTCACCAACTTCGAGGGCACGAAGGCCCCGATCCCCGGCGCCCTGGATACCAACAGCTCCAAGGTTGCTTCCTTCTTCCCCTGCCCTGCAGGGTCCTTCAGCAGCTTCCGGGTGGCCATCCGCCCCTTTTACCTGACCAACGCCACGGCCATGGACTAGCAGGTGCGGCTAGAGGCTGGGACCAGGGGCAGGAACGCAGAGACCTCAGCACCCCACACACCCAGCGAGGGTCTCTGCTCTGGCTCCTTCCCTCTGCAATCCCTGTCACCACCGACCACCAGGTGTCCCTCCTGCACCCAACCATCTCCCTAAGCTTGGAGAAACTCCTGGAAGGTTTCAGCTAGCCCTCGCTGTGGAGTCTCCCACTGCCTGGCTGGTTTCCAGGTCCGGAAGCAACGAGACCCTGCCCTGATGCTGTGGGGTCTCTCGTTTGTGTCCCCTTTCAGTTGCACGCTTTGTCACTGTCACTGGTCTGAGGTCACTAAATCCTCATTGTGTCCTCCATGGGAAGTGCCGTGGAGTCTGTCTGTGAGGGGTCCTGGGGACAGTGCATGAGAGAGGGTCCTTGTCTTCGTGAGACTGGGCGCTGGTGGGCAAGGCGGGCAACAGCAAGGAGCGTCCACCCGGGTCACTCCGAGGTGGGGAGTGAGCTGTGCGGCCGGAGCACAAGGGTGCTGAGGCCGAGCACGGGCCGGGCCTCCGGGACAGCGGCTCGGGCCTGTGCGGGAAGGACTACGGACTGCGAGCGGAGACGGAGAAGCAGCCCAGGGGAGAGCGGGCGGTGGGCGTCCTGCCGAGGGCAGTGGGCATTAGGGAGCTCTCCTGTGGAGGTCCTTGCGCAGGGGCACAGAGACTCCCATCGCGAGTTTTTGTGGGGACGGCGTGGTGGTTAAGGCGCTGGGTCCTACATGGCCAGCCATGCAGCCTGAGTCCTGGGACTGGCAGCTCGAAGAACTTGCCAGGCACTGGCACACAGTTGGGAAGAGTAGAGGAGAAGGAACTGTGGCGTGGCTCTCCCCCCGGGGCGTGCCCACGCGCTCGCGCTCACTCACACACACGCCTTGTGGCAGCTTTTGAAACACACACACAGCTGGGAAGAAGCTGAGTACAGCCACAGCTGAGCACGCAGACTCTGAGGTAGGGCAGGCCAGGCAGGCCAGCGAGAAAGCTGCGGGGCGGCCGCCCTCCCGAGGACGCTCAGAATGCCACCCCCACTGCCGGCAGGTATTCCGGACTGTCCCCGCTGCTTCGTGACACACGCTCCAGGCGGTTGCGGTGGCAGCATCTGATTGGCTGGGCTCAGTCCACGTGCCAGGGTCTGGGAGAAGGAGCTTTTGGACTGTCCGGCTTCTGCAGTAGGAGGGCGCAGAGGCTCGCCCTGAGGCTCCCGCGCCACGCAGCAGGTCGACAGCAGACACCCCCAGCACAGCTTTCCCCACTTGCATTTAGGGAGAAAAGCAGAAACGCGAAACTCTCAACCGACAGGCAGCAGGCGGCAACTTCGCCCCTCCTTCAGGGAGGCCCTGCCCGGGGTCCAGACTGCCCAGCCCCGGCCCATGCATCCGCAGGGCGGCCCCTCATCTCCCCGTCTGCTTCCACACTCTCGGCGTTCTAGTCTGTGGACGGAATCGCACTGCGAGCCCCCAGCAGTGTGCTGGGGCAGGGGCGGGAAGGGCGGTTAGCACGAGCCGACTGCAGCGCCCCTCCCCTGCAGCCGCGTCTCGGCAGCACAGGTTCGGGGCCTTGGCTGCAGTGCTGCTTGGGAGGGGCCGCGTGTGGCCCTGAGTTCTGCACACCCCCAAACTGCTTGTTCTTTAGAGAGAGAGTTTTGCTATAGGGCATGTATGCTCGCTGGAGAGACAGAGACAGAATGCGAGAAGTCACCCCCCAGGCGGATGACCATGCCACAGTCTCTCCTCAGGATTTTGGGCACACATGCACACATGCCCGGCGTGTTTTAAGCCACTGGATCTGGGACTCGAACCGTAGTCAAGTACGTGAGAGTCCAGTGATGTAACCATTACCCCATCTGCTGGTTCCGACCCCTGCACTCCTAAGGAACACCCTGTCCCCAACAGCCAGGACCAACCTCCCTTCTTCCTCTGCTTGCCCATGGTTCAAGTCGCCCTGAGGCCCTCTGCCTCTGTGTGGCCAGTTCTCTGGGATGTGGACATGTCTCTTGGTGGAAACATGCTCTCTGGGATGGAGGGCCCAGAGTTTCAGGGCCTCGGGGACACCTTCCCCGGGAGCCTGGCACCCTCCTAGAGGCCCCTGTCTCCCCCGTGTCTCCTGACCCGGGCACCACGTGTGGGCTGCACATTCACACGTGCCTCAGGCTGGGGCCATGTCTGCATGTGGGCGTGGGGGCCTGAAGGGCTGGGAGTGGGTGGCCAGGGTCGGCTCTGCTGCCGGGAGGGCAGGCATGTCCTCCGACCCTTCTCTGCCATCCTCAGCCTTAGGTTCCATCCCAGCCCTCCTATCTCAGCAGCCACTTCCCATGCGACGGGCTGCACATGGGACCCCGGGCAGGGCGCCGGCTCTCAGCGCTCGTGCATCTGCGGGCACCATGGTGGCGTAGTGGGCGTGGGGCTAGCGCAGGGCTAAGATGCTGAGAGCGGGCAGGGGTAGGGGCACCAAGACTAGCATAAGCAGCAACTCCTCAGAGGGCAGGTCACCCCCTCCCACAGAAGGGCCCAGCAAGCAGCTGCCACGAGGGAGCCGGCCGCTCCTGGGCATCAGGTGCTGGGGTGGACTCGGGCACAGTGTCGGGCACAGTGTCGGTCACAACAGCCTCAGGCACACGGCTAGGGTCCTAGGAGGCCTCCTCCTCCTTTCCCTCCACAGCCACCCGAGAGCCAGCTGGGCAGGGCCTGTGGCCGGACAGGCAGAGCGACCCTGAAGAGCAGCCTGCCTGCCCCCTACGGGCTCGGAGCCCTGCTGCAATGGGGCCTCCGGGCAAAGGCAGAGAGCTGCCCTCGTCCTCTGCCCAAAGCTGGCCATCGCTCTTGCTCCCCTCTCACTCCCTCAGCCTGGACTCTGAGCCCCCAGTCACTTCCTCGTGTGGCCCCAGGCCCTCTCCCCCACCACGTGGAGAGCAGGTGCTGCCCGTGTCCTGCCCCGAGCTGGGCCCCATGCCAGCCGGCTGGAGCGCTCTGCCTGGTATTGCCACAGTGCCACAGGAGCCAGGCCCGCCCTCTCCCTCCTCAGCCATGGTGTCTGGGCTCCAGGAGGCCCCAGGTAAGGCCCAGTGTGGTGGGGGAGGGCAGGGGCTGTGATACTGGTGCAGTCACCTCCACCTCCCCGGCCTGTGGGTGTTCCTGAGGTTCCACGTCCACGTGCAGCTGGCCAGGCTCCGGAGGGCGACTCGGGGATGGATGACAGTGGGTGTGGCTTGGAAGGAGGGGCACAGTGCTGAGAGGACGCAGCTTGGCCCTAGCCCCAGGACCCCTGGACGTCTCCTCAGAGGTCCTTCCTGTGGCCTCAAGCTCCCACCTGCGCCAGCGACTCTGAAGAGCACATGAGCAGTGGCCATAGCCCCTGCAGAGCTGCCTCCTGCTCTGACTTCTGCTCGGGTCTCCTACAGCGGCTGGGGCCGCACCCCAAGTGTGGGACATGCCACCTCCAAAGTCCAGAGACCTCCTTGAGGCTTCGCCTTTCTCTCAGGGGCCAGGGACGCACGAGCGGCCCCTTGCCTTCCCTGTGGCCCCGTGTGGTCACTGCGGTGTGGAGATGGGAGAGGGCAGACGTGGTGGAGAGCCGCCGTAGCTGAGGACATGTGAGCACGTGTGAGTGTGGCACAGAGAGACAGAGAGGAGACAGCGGCCGGAGATGATCGCTCGCAGTGATGGACACACCCTCCGCGGCCCGTGGGCACCTTCCCGGGCACGCACAGGACAGCCTACGGACCAAGTAGCTGAGACGCCCACGAAGCCTTTCCCCCAGCTCAGCTGTCCGGTTCGTGGTTCTCAGCATTTTTCACAGCATGTCTCCTGGGCCAGAAAGAAGATTCTCGGTACCACGCACAGGCCATCCCCTAAGACGACTGACACCTCCCTTCAAAGGCTCTGGGAGCTCCAGGGGCCGGGCGAGGGCTGTGACTCACGACGGCTCGCACCCTCTGCTCAGTTCTGGTCTGAACGCCGCACGGCAGGACATCCTCCGCGCTGCGGCGGGAAGGGCTGTCAGTCGCGGCGTCTCCGGGGCCCTCCACCCTGTAGAGACAGACCACGGCCACTTCTAAGAGCTGCTGCTGCTTTCCCGCATGCGCTGTGGCCTGGCTGCAGGAGGACAGCCTCCGGGGCCCGTCCAGGGCAGGCGCGAGGGGCTGACCCGTGCAGCACACACCCAGGTTCCTGGCCTCGCCTTCCTCTCTGCATCCTCACAAGGGACCACGGGCACCCAGGGGTCTGGTTTCCGGCCAGCCAACCGGGGAGTTGATTAGCACTGCGCCCAGCTTTGGACTGCTGGACGCACCTGTACCGAGTATTTTTAGCTTCGACTACCCAAAATATCAGCGGCTTCTATGAGGTTTTTCTTCATCTTCTCTCGCATGAAAGAGAGAAAGCAGTCTTCCTGGGGGAGGCTCCTTCTCTTTCCACACCCCCATGTCAGCATGCGACAGCCATCCTCAAGGTTACCTCGTGGTCCATCATGGCAGCGAAGACCCAGGCACCACTTCTGCCTTCCAGGCGTCAAGCAGGAGGCAGCAGGCAAGAACGGGCTTTCCCCAGCCTCCCTGAGACCGAGGGCCTCTTTAGACTGCGCCTGAGGGCCTGCTCCGACCAGCCCTGCACTTGCGTCCGGGTTCCGTTCCTCGGCCCTGCAGCAGGTGGCGTAAGAGTCATTAGCTTGGGCACAGGAAGTCCCTGTGGTTCCCTCACGACAGGCTGAGAAGGCAGGGGTTTGGGCTTGGCCTCCCCCCCCCCGCCCCGGGAGTCGCTAGTCCTTTTCAAAGGACGCCTGAGCCTCCAGTGCCCGGTGCCCCTGCTCTCCATGCCATGCGTGTAGCCTCAGCGCCTCCCCGTTCTGCTGCCAGTGGGTATGGCGTTCCATCCCTAGTGGCCTCAGGCACCGAATCAGCCAGCTCACCGCAGTGCCCACGCCATGTGCCCTGGGTGCCCTGGGGTGGGCTGTCTGCTTTAACTGCCAGAGAGCACGCGCACTCGACAGAGGGCGACAGTACCCCTAGTGGGGATGTGGCGCGCGCGCGCACACACACGCACACACACACACACACGCACGCGCACACACACACACACACGCAGAAGCGTCTGGCGTGTTTTTCAGGCCACCAGGCCTGAGACTCGAGCTGCAGTTGGCCATGTGGGGCGTGTGGTGCCCGCTCTCACAGCACTGCGTGTAACCGCTGTGCTGCAGGGCCACCCGCCGGTGGGATGTTTTTTTAAGAGACTTTTGCTAGCAGGCACATGTGCTCACCAGAAAGACAGAGAGACAGAAAGTGAGAAATCACCCCCCAGGGGGATGGCCACACCACACTCCCTTCT